AAAAAAAAAGCTCAGACAGTAAAAGTTTTGCACCAGTTGGATAAAGCAGGTAATAAAACTTGCATTAACTCATTCTATTCTCAGTGCAGATCTTTGCGACTACGCACAAAAAAATCAAAATGTAATTTTTTTCTCAGTTTCTTTGTATGTAGTGTATGCTTATTGTAAAATGTTCTAGAAGCTGTTGTGAAGTGCATGATTTCCTCTTCCTTGTGAAAGTGGTGATGAGTTATGAAATTTTCATAAATGGTGCAAACGAACTTTGGGTCATGAATCTCTGAATTATAATATGATAGAGATTTCTTTCTCGCAGTAGTTTTCGGCTCAAAATAGCTTTTCGTAAAACGCGTGGTAATTTTTCATTTCATCGGATATCGCAAGTTGTTTTAAGTCTAGGCTCCTCAATTTATTATCATGCAAAATCCTTCTTCAGCTGGCCTTCATATAGTGCTTTTATATGAAACCATTATCGTAAGACGATTTCGACAATTTCGTAATTTGTGTCAATCTCATTCGAGGATATGTTTATTACAAATAAATCCAGGTAGCAGAACATCTCATCTCCTTGAGGACGTAAAACAAAGTATGGAACGAAAGGCAGTGCGGAAACGTTGGTCGAACACCGTATAAATCAGTGGATTCAGTGAAGAGTTGATACTGCAAGCAACATAATTTGATGATCATTGCTATGAAACTCAGAGTAAAAACTTACTATCCCAGCCATGTTGCCAGAAAAAGAGGGAAAACTCCCATACATCCTCCTTCTGGTGAGTTGATAAGGCATATAGAATTGGCGAGGTGAAGTGTGAAAAAAGGCAACCAACAGAAGAGAAACACAGCTGAAAAAAGGTAGAGCTAAGGAAGAACGGAGATTATCATAAAGGAAAACTTTCAAAGAATCAGATGGTTTTTTGCTGTAAAATTTTTTCGATAAAAATTACACAAGCTTTTGCCCTAGTTCTCCTCGTTATGTGGAAAACATTATTTTTGGGAAACGTACCCCTTCAGAGTAAGCACTATCAAATGCAATGGATACTCAAAGTGAATTACTTTGTGGTCCCAATTGGTGTATTTGACTTCGTAATTAATCTTGCTGCTAGTGTCAGCCCAAACTGAAAAGCAAATGGAAGCTAGAGTGACCGGATAAGTATCTTACAGGCACTATGCTTACTTAGAGACAGAAAATACCTGGCTCTCTTACCTTCCATTGTTTTTGTTTCAGCCTCCTATATATGTATAGACTTATTTGATGAGTTTCAAACTCGCTCGACAAAACGGAGTAGTGATTGTTTGTAACAAAAAAAGAGTGCGAGAATGAATACTGTATTGAATGCCGTTACACGGACACAATATTCTCAAGAAATTTTTTGCAATACATACTTGTAATAAACCAAGTTTATTGGGTAGAAGTTTTGGGTTTTTTGATTTTTCCGCTATCTTCGGATAATGGTAATTTAGCTGAACTCTTTGAGAAAAAAGACGCAGTATATACAGGGTGTCCCAAAAAAATGTGAACACTGTTTG